TCCCCTTCCTATGCATCTCCTCCACCGTCAAATCCACTTCCTCTTCCCAACCTCTCTTTATAAGAAAAGGTTGGTAAAGGGAAAGGGACTTAAATTACGCCTCCGGTACCACACTCACATCAGACGAAACACGGAATTGCTTCCATTTCACGCCTGTCTTCTGTGTGGTCGTGGTATTACACCGGGCTTGCCGGCCCATTCGTGCTAAGATGTTAAAGCGGGCACTACCACTGTTAAATGCCTGTCTGTGATACTAGCGAAATTAAAAAAAAATAGCCAATAGTTACGTGATAAAATCAGCCAGGCTTTCGCAAGAACTATAAAAATATTACTGTTATATAAACAGAAACAAAAAAATGTAGTATAAAAAAAAAGGAAAAATACAAAAACTACAAACTTTCTTAATTAAATATTAGCTGTTAGGTTTTGATTACTTTTGGTTTAAACTGTATCTAATCTTTGGCTGTCACGACCGAATACATTATTAATATTAATAAAATATTTATCAGAGTACAATGTCTTCTTAGTCAAAGTATAAAGTTAACCCTTAATTCGACGTAGTTTCTTGTAGCAAAAATTACGATACCAACACACTAAAATTAACGTATTTTTTTAAGTTTTTCCTCACACTCGTTACTATCGAAGTAAGAATTAAATTTATAACATTTTAATTACATGGTTTTGTTAATTTATATATTTTTCAAAAATTATTTATCTTCATGTCAACGTCGTTTATATTATTTATTAGTAACTTGTCGATTCTTTTGCATTAAATACCTATTGTTTATACCCGAATGAAGTGGGGGCGGGTTGCTGGTTTGTGATAATTTTATTTTTACAAATAACTCTTATCGAATCGTCTGGTCTACGAAATGTTATCTTATCTGTTATCACTAATGCATTAATTTGATAGCATTTATTTTTGCAATTCTAGTTTATTTTTACCGAGAGATGAAGCGTTTTCCTAAATTTAGGTAATTTCCCTACGCTAGTTAAAATTCAATGCGTAATCGTCTAAAAATATTCGACCTTGATATGTCATGTAGATAATACTGGTTTTAAATTAATGTTTTTTTACTTTATTGTGCGTTCCTACTACTGAGCAAAATTTGATGAAATTTCGTTCTCACGATACATAAGAAATTTATACACTGAAGCTTTACAAAAAAACTTTTTGCTTGCATTATGATGTTTGATTTTTTTAGATCGGTCATTCATGCTTTAACTTCATTTTTTATAGTATAACAAAAGAGAAATCTTCTGCCGGAATTCGCCATAATAGCGAAGTGAGTGCTGCCTACAGACATCCGCATTTATGTGCGTTACCTACCTTTAATCAACAACGGAGGGTTCGCACAGAAATAGTATAATTCCCCTACTAAACGTCTTATCCACTGCTAAATCCTTTACCTATTAAATCCGATTGATTCCGAAATAACGAATGCAAGGTTCCCGCTAAATGCATTCTTAAATAGTGTTTTAGGACGCACGAGAGTGTAATAATTGAAACATCTTATTAATATTATAAATGCGAAAGTTTAGATGGATGGATGGATGTTTGTTAGAGTTTGTAGCCTAAACGGCCGAACCGATTTCAATGTAATTAGGCACAGATGTAGAGTATGGTTTGGAAGAACACATAGGCTACTTAGTTTTTTTAATTCCACGCGAGCGGAGTCGCAGGCAAAAGCTAGTTTAAAATATTTTTTGATTTCAATGTTTCTGAAAAATTCACTATTGGTAGCAGATATCAAATTTAAATGACAATAGTCACTACCTACATACTAATTATAGGTTATCTCTGACGGGTGAGCCATGAAGATAGTTATTAAATTGGAACAAATAGTCTACTCTACGTCAATTATTACAATCGATGCTTATCAGAATTTAATAATTTCGATTTGTATCTATTTTTTTTCGAACGTTATAGATAAAATACTAGCATAGCTTTTTTATCATAAAATTATTTGTTAGTACAGTACCATCTTAGAAACTGGCTTGTATTTTTATCACATTCGACGTTTTTTCCTTTTATCAAAAATCCTTTTCTTTCCTTGTCTGCGAGTTACCTATTGAATCATATAGCAATGACGCTATAACTACCTTATAACCATATTGTTGATATTTTTACAATCTTTGTAGCCATCACGGTGTTTGGTAAAATCAAGTCCTGGCTTCCCTTATCCTTTTCTTTACCCAACAAAAAGTGAAAGGAAAGATAAAAAAAATGAATGTAAAACTTACCAACATCAGTAATGTCGTCGGTGGTATTTTTAGCGAGCACTGTGAAGAAAACGATAAGACCGACGCACACAAGGAGGGCGAGGAGCGCAGCGAGACACGACAGTCTCTCCGCACGCGAACTGTTCTTGATGATGTGCCACACGTAAACAGGAAAGGGCATGTCTGTAACATCAACAACATTATTTCGCGAGCAATTCGACAATATTTTAACACCTAAACGGACCGAAAAATAAGCAGTTTTTTGCCAAATCTAATGGCATAATTTTTGATAACAGTAATAATTAATTTACCATAAAACTAACTGTAGTATACATAAACATAAAGGCACTTGCAATGATGCATTTGATGAAAATTGTAGTATGTTTTCAGCATTTTTGGAGGACGTTGAAGTCGACATCAAAGATCAAACCCAAAAGATATCTGTGTCCCAGGTATTTTTAATTAATTGACCTAAGAATCGCCATAGCAATAAAAAAATGAAATCTATCGTTAAGTTAAGGATTTTTCCATAGCGAGATATGTAGGACAGACAAACTGATCTCAAAATTTAGTATTCTGTCATTATTACCATCTGTATCTATTCATAATAAATGCCTAATTAAAAACTGCGTAGGTACAAGCGTTGACACTGTACTAAACATGTTCTCTATTTGCCTCCTTTTACAGTAATGGATTGTAAGTTATTTTATTTATTTGCTGTGCGCTTTATTCTGCGAACCTTATCATAATACAATATTTACCTGATGGTATTTTGAATTCTCATAGAAGATAACAATTGACCGCGTTACAATACGTAGAATTGAAATAGAGATAATCTGAAGAGTAAGACTTAACGCACTCTTGGAAAGATAATCAATACCACAATTAGTCTTTAATTTTGTGGATTATAACTGTGAGTTTCCACTGACGAAATGCGTCTATAGAAGTATATTATCTGACGTCACAATATGGCGCGGTTTCACGTCAATTCTTATTTAAAAATCAAAACAACTGTTTGTTCTAGATACTGTTGTCTACACTAAACTACAAAACTTCCTTATTGATTTCGACTAAGTCCAGCAGTACGTGAATTTTATTATGTCTTGTTTAAAAAAACATGATAACTGTTTTGAGAATAAGAAATCTTGCAACAGGACATTACAGCAGGAAAACCCAATCAGTCACCAGTCGGTATTACGTCATCTAAACGCGCTTTGGAATATATAAACAAGTTATAACTAACTATGAAATATTGATAAAACGTTAGTTTTAAAACATATTGCTATCTCTTTGGAAACCCGCAGTTATAATACTTCTTACTAATATTATTAATGCGAGAGTTTAATGGATGGATGGATGTTTTTTACTAAGTATCAGTGGCTGAATAAATCTCGCTGTAATTTGACAAAGATGTAGAACAGTCTGGAAGAACAAATAGGTGTTACTAATTATGTTTTTTTTATTCCGCACTGATGGAGTCACGGACAAAAACTAGTATTTCAATTATGTTTTTGAACTAATTTGTAGTTTGATTTGAATTATGTAATTACAATAATGTTTTGTATGAGATATTTGCTACGCTGTATGCACAGTTTCATCTAAGTTCAGTGCTATTTAACCAATGTAAGTATAAAATGTAGATATAATTTGCCTATCGATACGACGTATGTTCTCCACATGGAGACTGTTTTAATGATATTATCTGATACTTTTTGTTACTCGACAAGTTCCAATAATTTCAACTGTGGGTCGTAAGTGGAGATTACATCATTTCGAACCATTAAAACTTTTCTCGTAATCATAAAGGCAAGTTGAAATCATGACTATTACAAGAATTTAGATAAACATGGTATGTTGGAATGGCACATTTTTCGAATAAAATACGTAGGTATACTAAAATACTTTTGGATTATTATCTATGTTATTTAATTCGGCTCGATAAGCAATATGTCAACGAAGCCGACAGCGTTATCTATAGATAACAAAGTTTTGTACTAAATTATTCAAAACGATGTAATTAAATTATGTCTGTTTAAAAAATAAAGTTTTTCTCTCTCTTTCGATCGTGTAAATGCAATTTCTATTTTCTCTCATTTAGTTATGATCTAAGGAGTTTGACTTTGACTTATAATATTGACAAACATTATCAGAACTCATTACATTTACAAACTTCTTATTCTCTAGTTTCCCGATATTCTCTTGCTTCTTCTATTTAAAAAGAACTTATAAATAACTAGCTTTGGCCCGTGAATACGTCCGCGTGAAGTGAAAAAAACATAAATCAATAGCCGATGTGATCTTCCACACTATCCTCTACGTGTATACCAAATTTCATCGAAATCCGTTCAGCCGTTTAGGCTACTAACTCTAAAAAACATTCATCCATCCAACTAAACTTTCACATTTATAATATTAGTAAGAGTAAGATAATCTTGGGACATCCTTTATCAATGCTAGTGTATCTTTTTCAACAACAACCAATTTAAATTAAATCCCCATGATATTTCTATTAAGGTCCGGAAAAGCCTTTGTATCAATTAATTAACAATTTATAATATTTATGTGATCAATCAATTATCTAGTTTAAATATAGGTAAGTATTATTGGAATAAAAAGAGTATTATTATACATCTTTTATTTTATTAAATTCATTGTCACAGTATCTAATATCACATTTCACATATTTTTTTGTAAAAATACAAATAAAACACTATCCTTCTTATCTTTACAGAATTCAAGCAAATAAACATTTTTACAAATTGAATATTAATAAAAAAAATAGAACAGCAAAAATGTTATGGCGAATATGACGAATTTTTACTAATTGTCATTTTTTGTTTTTGTAACATAAACATTAGTTATGTTACTAAACTTTACTCGTAATTTTAAAGAATTATTCAAATATCACAATAATTTAAGCTGTTTTAAGTTACATATCTTTGATAAATAAATATTCAACTTAAATTTTCGCACATTCCATTTAAAAGGAGCTTGGGTTACGATATATAAAAACTAAATATACTTGCTTTATTAAATCTTACAAACCGATAGCAAAATTTACTCGTTTACCACTTGCATTGATTCATCAGCATTTCGCTAATTGTCCTTTACTTACTTAATAATGAAAGCTTTATATATTAAAATATAAAGAACAATTATAACAAGAACAATTGTTATTCACGCAATTGCCGTCATCAGTCACCATTTCCCTCTCTACGGCTTTTATTTGATTTCTCTTTAATTTCATAGCTGTTAGTACTTACTTCAGAAGTCTGAAGTCTGTACACAGATTGTCGTTTCAGCTTAATCTATCAGCTTAGGTGCTCCGACCATTATATCTCTTTTTTTTATAAAGGCGGCAATAGGTTCTTTATATAGCATCAAAGCTGATTCTAGTTTGTCCTATTTTTATACATATATCTATGCTTTAAAGACGTTTTTATACTTATCAGCTATCAAGACAGCCGCTTCTATTAAAAGAATTCCAATTTGCGAAGTTATCCATGAGAGCGAGCACGTGGCGGCCGGGAGCGACAGTGGCAGGCTGTAACTGACATTGGGCGTACAATGTATAATCCGGCACAAGAATTCTTTCTCTGACGAGTACGTCTAAAAGTATATTTAGATGATCAAATTGTTCCTGATTCGGGAAGTCAGTCACGTAGTTTCCCATGAACATTATTGTTATACTTCTCACGTTCCAAGAAGTCACCATGGCACCAAAAACATTCGCACCTCTGCCTTCGAATACAAAACCTTTACCGCCTACTAGAAAGTTAGGGCCGATATCGCTCAATCCTCTTCGTAAGTGATCCTGTTGTATGACGAGCATCTGCTCAATGCACTCGTACCTTTTTTCGCAGAAATTGGCCGCAGAGTGGCCGATGATTACATACGAAAGAGGCAGTTCGAGAAAATCTATCGAGTAAGGCGGCATCGCTTGCCAGTCGCCGCGTCGCAGGTACCACGGCACCTTCAAACCTAGCCAAAACAAAGTTACATCAACATCAATAAAGAAAACAACAATTACAGTCAACTACCAAATCATGAGGGATATGAAATTTTACCTATTAAGCTATAAATTACCAGAAAGTTTCTATCTCAAGGTATAAAATAGTCAAGTTACAACGAAATAATGCAAAAATACATGATCCACCAGAGAAAATAAATTCGATTAATAAGAAAATAAGACAAAAACAAAGGGAACCAAAACGGTATAAGAATAGTAAATACAAATAGTATACGGAATTATAATAGGCCAATGATTTAGATACACCAGAAACAGCTGGCTTTAAGAGAATTAAAAGAATAATGTCAGTGGTATTGTTAATAAAACAAAAACACTAGAAGCCCATACGGAAAAATAATAAATACCTATGTCTAGACGACCCTGTGGCCTTGGCAGGGCGACGGAGACGACGTAGATAACTAGGCCAGATGCTACAAGAAAGGCCCAACACACGAAGACGGCCACGCTGCAGCGCAGCCTGCGAGAGCCTTTAGGTGACACCAACTCTAGGCCCAGAAAACGGCCTGAAACATTAAAAAGTCTACGCTAATATAGCGAAATAGATGTTACAACTAATTTACAAAACAATAAACTAATATGACTAATAAACAATCCGAGGAATAATTAGAATCAAATCACACCTGCTTGCTAACAAAGAACCGAGCCTTTTAGTCTACAAAGGCAACAATTGAATCGACTCCCATTACTATCATAGATGAAATACTAAAAAAGCGACAATCAAAGAACATAAATATCACATTTTTAACATAGACCTGTGACTTATTTGGTAACGGAATGTACATATAAAATTTTCTATAGATACCTACACGTGAAAATTAAAATAAATATTCTTTACTAACAAATTTTACAATAAATTTATTTTATTATAGTTTTATATCAAAAGTGTTCAGTATATATTTTATAGAAATATACGAAGATTCCTTTATTCTTCTTCACTTTTACTCATACTCGTATAATTTAGGTGATAAGATTTTTTTTGTGACTGAATAGCCACTGTTTGCCATTTACAGATTCACCGGGCTTGAGGTGGCCGAGCGCAAATGGCGCTTAGCCTAAACCTCGTTTACGAGTGTAAATGTATAATGCGCAACGTCAACAGGTTCCTTTTCAAATGTATTCATGCCTCTATATTTAAAAACTTTGCCTAAATGGTATTATGCATCAATGTTAACGTTGCCGTGTTTCTAATGACATTTATTAAGGTGAGAGAAGACCTGTATTATCCCTTCATTACAATTTTTTTCTTACTTCATAATAAAATCCACTAATTACGTCATTACGTTCCCAAAATTATTACACAAGTGTTTTAAAGTTCAAACTCAGAGATACAGGTGTTCGTAGTGTTCGTTTCTGACAAACCAAGATGTAGTTCGGCTGTTTTGATAAATTTTAGCATTTATGACGTGAGCAAACATAAAAATCAAAGGTTTGTTACTACTTACTATCGCGTTTGCCTGTGCATATTATATGTGGATACACGGCTTATTTATAACCACAGAATGGCAAAACAATTGTACATTTCACGTAGGTTCATTTTATTATAATTCATTGAAATTATAATAATGGTAGTTACAGATTTACTATGGTGTCCGTAAAAATGTTATAAGAATGTAAGAATGATTAAGATGAATTAAGATTAAATTTACTTTTGTTCCGAAGATCTCTGCTTCTCTCTTTCTCTCTTACAGTAAATAGTGAAATGGTTTAACAAAAAGAAAGTTTTCGATGACCTTTCTTATTAGCAAGAATATTTACATATAACGTCAATCAAGCCAATATATATTTTTAAGCTATATTACGCATCTGGCTAACAATAGAATTACTTATTACATCAAATAATTTGACATCATTTTAGTATTTGTACGACCATAATAACTACATTTTAAAGTTTAAGGTAATTTAATTTTCACAGTTCTTAGTAAGTTTTATAAAGTCAGCAACATTACATTGTTGCCATAAATTATAATATAAAGACACAAATAAGATTACTTATTTTATTATAGCGATAAGAGAAACTATAGGTGTGGGTCTACATAAAGGAATTGCTAATTTATATTTGTTATCGACGTTAATCGGACACCAGTGGAATTAAAGCGTTTCGAAATACAAGATAACGTTTGCTATGCACAAAAGAATTGAACGAAATTCTTCGATATTAGTTTTCTGATTTTGACGTGTCTTGTTATTCTGTCGTCATACGAATTGAGAAATAATTGTGGGTAGACAAAGAGATGCTTGATAATATGAACATCGAGATTATACATAGTACGTTCCTGAGTCCTACTAAATACTAACTTTATTTAGTAGTTAGTAGAAGTTACTTAGTTGAATCCTGTTAAAAAATTATCGTTATTGTACTATAACACAAACTTCGCTTTAAGATTTGCGCAGCAGCGTTTTCCACGAAAAACAAATTATAAACTTGTACGAGGAAAATTTCTAACACTAAAGGTCAATTTTATTAGTAATGTATGGAAAACTTTTAAGTACAGGACTGTTGAACGCAAGCAAACTAAAACATTAAAAATATTTTGCGCCAGCAAACTTAACTCGACTTTGGTACAGTATCGATACATGCAAGTAAACGTAACAACGAAACGAGACAAAGCTTGTCGAGTCTCGTTTCTCGCTACAGGAAAATACGTGCAATAACCAATACTGCCCGTATGTCTTACCTTTGACCTCATTGGTGTTATGTAGATTCTGCGTGACGGAAACGAACTTAGGGCCGATGTGGACGCGGGATGATTTCGTGACATTGAGATTAGCTATTGTCGGAGGCGTGGAAGCGGGGGCCAATCCCTGGCCGTCCACCAGCACCACTTCCGAGTTGGTGCTTGTGCGTCCCGGTGCATCGCTCTGTTGATCGTCCTTCGCTGTCCACATCACAACCACAAACAAACACTAAAGTCCGTGCAGTCGTGGCCTTACTGAGAACGACGTTTTCTTGGCGCTACCCTAACGCGACTGACTTGCTTCACGGACACAATGTGTAATGATTAAACGTAAACTACTGACTCACACATCGCGAAACGTCTTTCATCTGTGTGTATAGTGCATAGGAGTTGGCTGATAACAACGACAATCGGAATTAATTTCGTATCTCTTTCGCACTCATTCGCGATGCAAGCTTCGAATTATGTCTGACTTGGTAACAATGACAGCTTCGTAACTTAATGTGTTATATTATTTTTTAGGTTTCATGTTTGTTGTTATATGTACGGTATCACAAAATTCCTGTATATGATATGGGAGAAAAGAATTACAATATTGTTTATGAATGCGTTTGCTACCTTATATTATATAGAAAAAAAATTGGTTCATAACAATTGTACAAGGAACTCATTTGTTACATATCTGTCCTTGACAATACCTTTGAAACGCATTTTACGTTCTACGTTTTACGATGCTGCCATTTTTAATAGTTTACAAGTCTCGTAACACACCATGTTATAAAAGTCATAGCTTCCGAGCTATAATTACTTCGAATTAATTTCTTTTAATCTCTAGATCTAGGAGACATATTTATGCCGTAATAACTAACATTCATCTTATCCTATCCTATCACAAGTTACTATTTTAAATGCTGTTTTAAGATACTTATGTTATCAGACATCGATTGACTTAGATCTCGTTTCAAATTGTTTTTCCGAGAGTTATTACATGTCACAAACAGATGGCGCTGTTAGAATTTAAATTTTATGATTCTCGATTTTACTTTCCCGGTATTATTTAATACGAGCTGTTGCCCGCGACTTCGTCCGCGTGGTATTAGAAAACATACGAACTATATAAATAACAAAAAGCTACGTATCCTTCGGGAACCGGACACCTCGGAGATGAAGCTTATCCCATGTATACTCCAGACTTTGTTTTACATCTGTGCCAAATTTCAATAAGATTTGTTGAACCGTTGCAGAATGATCAAGTAAACATTAAAAAACTAACTTAATGAATCCCAAGGGAACCGAAGTTATCCCGGGATAAAAAGTAGAATATGTGTTCTTCCAGACTATGCTCTAAACCTGTGCCAAATTTCATGGAGATCCGTTCAGCCGTTTAGGCTACAAACGCTAACAAACATCCATCCATCCATCCATCTAAACTTTTGCATTTATAATATTAGTAAGATTTATGATTTTATAATAGTGTGTTTGACTGTGCTAGAAACCGCTTTGTTAAAACACTCCAAGGTTCAAAGACTGGAGACGTATAATTGTAAGGGACACTTAATAAAAATACGAGAATTGATCAAAACAATTTTTTTTTATTTTTATCACAAGGACTTACAATAGCACAATAAAGTAACATTTTAGTAGCAAACCTCTCTTTCCAACTACTAAGATTTAAGCTACTAGTACAATAACTAATTTAATGAAAATAAACTAAAATCAATAATAGCCTTATGGATATTTAATTAACCTCAACTTAAAGTTTTAATTTTACTCACATTTTTAAAATTTTAAGTTTATTATCAAATAAATTTAACTTGGGTGTTGTAAGGTACAAACCAAACTATACGGCGGATGGTTTCTCCTGAGACGCTACACAATTTTATGTATAAACAGAATGTCTGGGATATGGAGGCTGAGTACACCAGCAGTGGACACTTCGAAGTCATTCCCTAACCACGAGCCGCGACAAAGTTTGTATCTTTCAATAGGTGTCAAAAAGATCAATGTAATCTTTGAAATGCAAAGCGTCCATATTTAACGTAATTTTTGTCTAATACAATGTGAGCCGAATTCAATTATCACGCTAAATTAGCAATACAATGCTTTAAAAATTAAAAAAAAAGCTATAATTATGGTATATGTGACGGTAATAATAATTGTTAATTCTAAAAATACATTACGAGATAATATTTTACATTTTTCTATCGGCAATATTAATAAATAAAAGAAACAGAAGGAGAATAACAAAATTATAAAACAAAAATAAGAAGTGAAACGTTTTGAATAGATAAAAAAAAATAAACAAAAAGTTTGCTATTGAATAGTATTTTTTTAATTGTACATAAAGCTGACAATTCGAGAAAAATCTAAATTTAAAATACACAAATTGGATTAAATAAAATGTTGGAATATGTTTAATTACCATGAAGGTTTTATTTAAATTTTAAATATAAAATAAATTTCATATCTATACATCACTATAACCGAAACATAGCAATGGGTAATCACATATTTACCATTTACACGTGTTTATACGAGTATACAAATATATTTAATACGAATCTGTACCTTTTGTACATAAACACACATAAAAGGTCAAATACCTTATACATGAATCATTTGATCTAAAATCCTTAAATTAGGAATGATTTTTTCATAACAAATTCAAAACAAAATTCTAAAAGTGGACGCACACCTTTGACCAAACAATCGCACAACTGCGTGCGATTTTTTCGCAGCCAATTCAACTGTTTAGTAACAAGTGTGCGCGCTCTCACTCTTTTCGGAATACTGTTTGTACCAAAAAAAACACATTCATGTAAATGTTATTGTATGACTTTTCACATTTTAATGGTCTTTGTTATGAAATTGATAACTTAATTCAAATATAATTAACATAAACAGAGATTGTCATTAAAAAATTATATACTTTTACAAAATTTCAAATAGTTAAATAAATAGAACAGAAAAGTAACAAGAAAATAGCTGCAACAATCATTTTTTTTAATAAATGATTATAATAAAACACTGTTACAACTAACACTATATTATTGATTCATATTCTACTATTCGTTAGATATCACATTTCAAATAACATATAGACATGCCAATCTAACTTTACAATGCTAAAAAATTTTTAGAAAAATAAAAATGTCCCTTAAACGATTGTATGAAAATAAAATCAGCGTTAAATAAAAATTACGGGCACCGAGATTGTAACTGATTAAATTAATTTAAACGTAATTTGCACCTTTAAACATTTTTTAAAATGGAGACAAGGATATATTTTGTACAATTGTATTCTCGCGATTAAACACTGCTTAAAACAACTAGATAAGATTTTGCAGGAAATATTTCTATGTAGGAATAAAAACAATACGACACAGTGAAATGTTAAAGGCCATTGAGCCAAATGTAAAACAAAGCGAGTAATTACTATTGGAATTACAGATGTTTGGTAAATCAATATTTACTATTGTCTTGTATGCGATTCAGTTACTATTCGTACCCCAAAGTTATACGTTTTATATACAAACTGCGTAATTTATCTTAACTATAATTAAAAGTTGTTTTTTTTATTCAGATCTAAAATGATCGCTACTTTCATAACTCTTCATTCGATTGATATATAAAAGTCTGATAATGTTCAGATAATGTTATTGGTTACGTAATTTTCCTTAAAGTCTACGTTGATTTAAGAAAAAAATAATTTATCTTATTCTTAATGATTTGGACCCAAATGTTAAGACTTTACTGGAATGAGACATTTTTAACATGATAAGGGGGCGTTTGTACTTGTCAAGTCTTTATTTAACTCACTTAATTCGGCCAAATACTAATCTATCGGATACATATATAAATAGAATTAATTAATTGAGATTACAATTATATTTTTTCTGTTCATTTTGTACCTAACGAAACTGATGTATGGCAATTTTGTATCTTGCGTTTTGTCGCGCAAATCATCATTGACGGAGATCACTCTTGAAACCGTGAACGATTCAAAGATCGAGCATCTAGAGATGGGTGATAATGATTTCGTCGTCAATCTCATCCTTCTCGTCGTCTTCCTCCGGTGGCTGCATCGCGGCGTCGGCGGCGGCTGCGGGGTTCTCCGCAATCGCCTTGAGACGAAGAGCCTGAAATTATTAAAATGTATATCAAACACATTGTAATTATAGGCGTAGACAGACAATAATCTAAGGGAGGTGCAATTATTTAGAACTAACATAATTATTTTACATTTTGTACAGATGTTTGGGGTGTATGTGGGGGCAGATACCCCCTACCGTCATCCATGATTGTAATAACCAACTTGGAAAACTTAGACTACGATAATCTAATGTTAAATTATTTGAGGTAAAAACCCAAACGTACCTTTCTCTTGTGCAGTATTTCAACAATCATATATCCAAGGAATCCGATGAGCAAGACGACCATCATAACGTATAGCTTCATCCTGGCACACAAGTGTGTGGAGTACGCATAGGCGACAACGAAGCCAGCACTCTCCCATAGCCTGTAGTTAGAGAACGCTGCTTCCTTATTCCGTCTAAACAGCACTCCATATAACCCTGTAGAAGAAATATAATTAAAAAAACATGCAACAGTGATTTAAATAAAAATAATGAACTAAACATGCTTTATTTCAATTGACACAGAATAGATGTTACCCACAAAAAATCAATCAAGAAAAACAGACTTATTTATTACTTTTCAAGTCATATTAAGAACTAGGTTTGTGAAATGCACGAATAAAAATTACACGAAAAAAATAATTAAAAAAGCAACATGATGTAAGCACAGATAAATTCAATGGGATATTTTATTCCGTACGTACAATTGTTAGGGAGAAGTCAATGAACTGATAGGTTTTTTTATTTCCTACGTGGATTTCTTTGTCGAACAATTAGGTATCAATAATTTAGTTTGATAACAAAAACTTGTTTTCTTAGACATTTATGGTATAGTATGCAGTATTCCTCCCTCAGTGTTAACAAGGTAAATGAAAGGGATGGAAGTATAATATTATACGGTGAAAAAATTAGTTATATTGAAAATATAAAAATATTTTAAATCAACGACATCGGTTCTTAAACAATAGTCTATCATAGCCTATGAGAAAATCCTGTCACTTAGTACGATATAAAAATATTTATATGCAGACATTTAAATACAAAGTCTGCGAACGCATATTAATTAGTAAAACGAACATTTTAAAAGGGTATAGTTACAATAGGTTAGGTTGAACCCAAATATAGAGGATATCAGATAAGCTAAATAATAAAAATCACACGAAACATTAGACGCCGCTCTTTGATGAAAAGAATTTTTAAAAACCAAAACCCCGTCCTCCTAGAAGGTAAACCCGGAACTCAATTGTATTGAAAAGTGTCTTACATGCGAATTTCATCAGGTGGTGATGTTAAAGTAAATAATGTATGAAAATTCTTTTTCGATATTAACCTATCTATACTATTATAATAAAGCGTAAACACACACTTCTTTGTTGCCTAAGATCTCAGCAATTGAATAATTCTTTTCTTAATAAAAAGCCCTACACTTACGTCACGCGTTAGGCTATATATTTTCACGCTATTAAACTTAGGGGGTAAGTAAATTGGATAAAAACCCAAATGTGGAAAAGAGACCATAAGTTGCTGCCAACATCAAGAAAGGAAGATTGCTAAGGTTTGTTATGTCATGACATTTTGACATTTGCTATTGATAATTAGACAAATGTAAACAATGATATAAAGTTGTTACAATTTCACGCGGATGATGCCGCACGGGAACAGCTAGTGTTCTGTGTAAAATTACTCCTAGACCGAGTAACTTGAAATCGGCGTTGTTACGTCAGAACAATTTATCCGGTTGCAAATAAGGCATCATAAAAATAACTAAACATTTAATCGAATTAAAAAAGAACTAATTGAGAACCTCCTCTTTAAGTCAGTTAAGTGTTTATGGAATAATAAAGAACGTTTTTTTAATTCAGATAAAATAATATTCTAGTCAATATCATCTATGCAAATGGTTGATAAATGAAGTCTATAAAGTTAAGTCGTAAAAGACTTTACATGCAAAGCTTGAGAACGCTATAAATAGCGCTAAGGCGTAGAGCAAGCTATCATGCGACTAAGTACTTTTATCCCTTTCTATATATAGAAGGAGGTTTTTTATGCCCGATAAGAAATATCTATGCTGATATTGAGTTTACCGACGATGCGTATTTCAGATATGCAATTTTATATTAAACTAGTTTGTGCCCGCGACGCCGTTCGCTTGATTTAAAAAACGCAGTGTATTTATAATTGTAATTAAAAAAAAATAGTAAATAAGCCTATCTTTTCATCCGGACTATGATCTACGTTTGTTTTATACTTCGTCGAGTTCGAGTCGCGTCGTTCTAGAGATCCTAGGTTCCTTCTAATAAACGTTCATCCATCCATCTAAACTTACGCATTTATAATATTACTGTGATAGTAAAATAATTTAAACCAAGTTTTTTTTTATTATTTCCAACTGTATACTTCGGGATTTTCTATATATATTCATAGTTTTTTTATTTCAACATTGCAGAAAGTTGAAGTAGCACATTCAAGAAATAAGAGTCAAACTTGATTGATTTAGTTTAAATTGCGTCATTGAACATTTTGGTATAACAGCAATGTTAAAAATGTAGCGTATTAAAGTGTTATATAAAATGTCTTGTACGGTAAAAACAGTAAGTTACGTAAATATATATTTTGTATAAATTACATGAAACTAGTACGAATTGTGTGATATAATGTGATGACGATGTAATTAATGAGCCCATTATTTATATCTCGCAGATTTATTCAAGATCCATATCTCATTATGATAATTTATAGCTTCATATGTCATATAATGACTGTACTGAAACAGTAATATACAGACAATAGTTATAAAATTTGTTGAAATATCAACGCAGACTGCTTGAAATAGTCCATGTACCAACATAAAGGAAGAGCCATTAGCCTGTTTGGAGTAGGGACTACCAACCTTACGGTCGAGGGTTCGAATCCCGCCATTCGACAACTATCGTGGCCCATATACTAGCACAAGCCTAGCGCTTAGTTGGAATGGTCAAAGGATGTTTTAATAAATTAACAAAAATTTACTAACATTTTTAATGTAAAAAAAACAGTAAAAGTTAGAACGTGAAGAGAAACGGAATTTCATGGTCACCACATGTTCTGTGTGCGAGCGCTTCAGGGCACTTTTGACATCCTTGTATGTGTTTTTTTCAAATGGTTTTATTTCGAACCGCGAGTTCTTTGTTTTAGATTACTTTGTAAGTTGAAATAATATTTTATTCCAAGTAGACGAAGCGGACAAAAGCTGGTACCATTTTTTTAATATTAAATTGACAATTAGCAAGGGGCCACTTGGATATGAAAGAAAGAGTCCTGTGTGTGAGCAATATTGGCTAGCGTTTTAGCTATTCTTGATCACTGTTAATTATGAAATTTATAAAGTTTTTCGACTCAATATGTAAAGGCATTGAGCGTGAAATGAATCTTATTATATAACACTTATTAAAATGTTATTGAATAATTATATCTACATACTTTACACGTTTTGCATTGGTTACGGATATTACTCTCTTATAGCGCATGTAAGTTGACAAAAGTGCAAAGATCGATCAATAAAAAAATCAGGCATATTAATCGCATTTTAATTACCTATCTTCCTGAAGAAATGACGATAATTTTATCCAATAACTAGCTGTCCCGTACGGAGTTAGACAAAAAATAATTAGTATGTCTTAGAAAATATGTTTTATGTATGCCATTTCTACTATATTCATTAAGCTGTTTTTAAGATATTTATTATCAGACATTCGAACTTTAGCATTTATATAATATCAACTAGTTATTGCTCGCGACTTCGTCAGCGTGAAATTAAACAAAATAGTAAAAAAAGATAGCTTATGTTAGAGTGCTAATACGGATTTTCTAACTCTAAAACTATTTACTTTTGAAGTTATTTTAATGGATAGAAAAATTCAAAAGCAAAAATAAAAATCTCATTTTTTACTATCTAAAAAAGGGTACAGATCAAAGAAGCGACGCAGAAAAATTCTATCGTTGTATATTCAGTTAATGATCTGTGCGAGTTCAGGTCTGTTAGTTGGCTGGTTGGTTGAGTCAGGAATGAGCTGAAACCTGTTTTACAGGTGGAAGCAAGACAGAGGCGTGACTTCGTCTAGCTTAGATAAGATACTGGCTAGGACGGTTAGGAAAAGACGACGAGAAATTCTATATTTAAACTGCGTCTTTTTTGCTTTTTACGATTTAAAAATAAGTATCCAGTTTATTGGATGGTAAGCAGAAGTGATTCATTGAGTACTTAACTTAAGTCTTAGTCTTAAGTCAAGCGAGAAAATGTACACGATCAGATATTTACAAAGTAACGAAATTAAATACAATGTTTTACAAGACCACTTGAGTTTTTGATATAGTACAAAGGATTTCAACGTAATGTAACTTGCTGTCACTTTATAAGCAAGTACAATAAAGAGTTTTAAAACTATTAGCATAAGAGCTATTATCTTTAAATTGTTTAATTTTAATTTCGTCCTTAATCAATGTAAAGCTATTTTATTAATGTCGTGTTTAACATACCGTAACGGAAAAACCTAGTTCCCACCACACTGTAATCGCTAACGCACACATTAATGGCTTTTTAGCTACTTTATAATTTACAATAATACGCACCAATTTTTAAAAATTTGGTCATTTCTGTACCACGCATTGAAAACCGATAGCAAGCAAATTATAAAAATTACTACTGAAAAATTATATCTGGGTTTTTAAAGGTATTTTTCATCCAAAACTAAGGATTACAGTAATAAGTGTAGTAGTGAAAATATAACAAATAGTGAATTTCGTTTTCGTCATTAAAATGAGTGCCCCAATTAAGCCGCTTTGTCATAGATTGGTGTTGCTTCAAAACGCAACGTGAATGGTACAATTGAATTGTTTTGTTAAAAGCTGATAAATTTTCACACCTGATTAAATAAATTCGTGCCCGGTAATGTCGACGATTGTTATTTAGATTCTCGTTGTGAAAAATATTTATGTAAATTTTACTCTAGTAGGTGATGAGGTTAAAAAACTGTGAATTATGATTATTTATGATATATGTGAACAGTTCTAAATTAATAAATTTTCATAGTTTTCTTTACAATCCTTCTACATTACAGATAGATGGAGATTTAAGGAAACTTTTATAAAGTAAATACTAAACTGATGATTCTATTAACTAAGTTTATTAACTTTTTAAAACCTGTTTTTAAAAAAAAATGTTATGCGGACTCAGTTTTGTTTTAAACAAATGCTTGCTATTTTTGTATATCTTTATAAAAAGTAATGTATTTCAACTTACCATTGATCTGAGTCTGCCAAACTGCATCACCAACGCCCCAAAGTCCGGATATGACGAAGAAGACGGTTGGTGATTCAGGATTAGGTCTCCATATCAGAAGCCATACGATCAAGCCAAGGTGAAGAGCTGCACCCATGAAGAGTATGGGGAATCGTCCGATGAACTTCATAGCTGAGCCGAAGAGCAGAGAGCAGATCGCGTTGACGACACCGAAGCAAATCATCACGTATCCAATTGACCGAATGCCAAGAGCACACGACACGTAAGCCTGGAAGATATAATGCTTTAAATAAAATTTGCTAATATATTGGCCAATAACATATCGATATCGAGGACACCAGAAGCCGAATTATAGGCACCTACAAGTCGTAGTTTTAGTATTTAGTGAAAATATGAGAGAATGATCCACTAGCTATCACTAACTAGAAGGTCGTAGTCTTGTAATTGTATGACTATATCCTGTTAAACCAGACTTTTTCAGGTCAAGTAAAGGCAGTAACATTGGTAGAATGTTTATGACGTTTTAAATGTCCTATTTTTTATCGATCTGGAGTTCTATAGTGAAATAATCAATTTATTCTAACGGTCGTTGGTAAAATAGAAATAAAAACGTTCGACGTTGAAAGAGTAAAAAAAACTAACGGCCAAGATAAATGTTTCGTAGATAATGAACTACAAAAAATATGCACGTGCTCGAGACGAGACCATGATTTAATAACAATGTTTGAATCAGATGTAAAATAATGATTAGCCAGATACATTCAAAATATCTTTACATTTATGCTATGGTTTAGCTTTAATATGATAGCGTGGCGTTTTGATAGATACAAGTCTATGTCATTCTTTGATATTCACAAAGTCAATTTCTATATTTACCTATATAATTGAAATTCGTTTTTTCTTTTTAAAAATTACGGATGTATAGATGTAGAAGGGATTGCATTTCGTATAAAAGAACACAACAATTCAAGCGTCTTAGAAAATACTTACAGGCTAAATATATAATACCACAAGGATATAGACAGCGATAGATTATTTCAGTATGATGATGATAATCATGATATTAAGAAGTGATCACTTTACTATCTTTCTGATGAATACTAGATATAACGATATTGGATTTTCGCCTTTACAATGACATTTTACTGTCAAGGAATTATTTACCTGAGTGTAGTCAGCACCAATAAACGCTTGTTCCATTCCAATCCATAGCGTTATAGGGATAAGCAGTTGTTGGTTAGGTTTCTTCAGCTGGTAAGCAGTCGCCGATAGCAGTTGGATTCCAGTCAATTCTCTGGAGGGATCTGAGTTTCTCTGTTTTTCACCATATCTGAAATTAGCGGAGATTTAGTACAGGAATTTTTAAAATTATAATTATATGACTGTAAATTTTGTAATAATTTGATAAATATCAATTTCATTAACAGAATAAATATGCAGTAAAAATATAGGGTGATATTTTTTAAAATAACAATCGTTAGAAGTTAACATAAATGTTAAATAATCTTCGAGAATACACGAGCCTAAGGTCGACCATTGACTCGACTCAGAAGATTTCAAATCGTATCTATGAAAAAAAATTAGTTGGTTTCTATCTCCATACAAAATAAATTATCGTTGGAATGGCTCTGTGCAAAAAATTGTCGAAGTCACACCGCGCGAAATCGAGTTTTTAATTACTTATCACAATTGGAATATATCCGTTCACTTTTTCCGCTTTGTAATTCATTACTTCCTTCAGGAATATATATTTCATTGATTATTAAAAGTGATTAACTTCTATATTTGTGAAATAACTATTACAGTAGAAAGAATTTTAATACGGAATACATAAAAACCATTTTCTCCTTACAATGTGATAGTAGTGTTGTATAGTGTGATAGTGTGATAGTGTGATAGTGTGATGTGGTTTATACGAAAATTTACCTGGACAAAGGATCGACGAGGACGGCAACCATGATCACAGCGACGACGACGCAGGCGAGGTATATGGCACTGATTTCATAAATCTCGCTGTCTGGCGGGCGGTGCAGGTTGCGGTTGTCATGGTGACCACCGCCGATCATGCAGAAGTTGGCGCCGCACGTAAGCAACGTGTTGGACGTGTTCTCACTGTTGCCGCTGTGCACTCCAGATGAGAAAACTGCACAAAGATAAATTCAAAAACTGATTTCAAATAGAAAATTATTGAACATTCTTGATTAAAAAACAATTTTCACTCATTATCACAGAAACTTTTATTTTGGATCAAAAAACATTTGAAAAACTTACCCAAACTGGAAATGAGGTTGCCCCACAGCTCAGCGGTTTGCCATGCCAGGAAGAAGAATCCGAAGAATCGGACAATTATACCGTCTACTGCTTGATCTGTTAATTTAGCGTAGACGCTACCAGCTTGAGTTAAGTAGGTGGCCTTGGACGTCCACATAGGAGCTGCTCCTAAGCCGACCACCACGCCGGCCGGTACCAAAGTGTAAAACGCCGGATAGAATTGAGCACCGATGTAAGGCGCATAGCACATCATTGAAAGGCATAGCGTCCACTTGACCGTGAGTCTTTTGATGAGGAATGTGGGTACGAAAATGCAGGACACCACAAGCGCTGCATAGATTGAGCTTAGTGACACTGTTCCAAGTCCGTCGGCAGCGTTGATGGACGATTGCAGATTGGCCGTCCCTTGGAAAGCTGTGAACTGTACCATGAAGGCAGCGCTCACGGCTGCCACGTTCTTCAGTATCCTCCATTTTTCGTTTCTTGATAGCTTAACCTTTCCAGATGCGTACATATCTTCTTCGGTAGGCAGCGGTGGCGGCTTGACGATATCATCGTTCGAGTCTCTGTCGTGTTGGTATGCATCGTTCTTGAATCCAGTTTTGTTTGTATATTCCTTATCAGGGCGGGCGTCATCGCAGCCGCCTCCGTGAGTAGCAGTCATTACGTGTTACCTCCTACTGTCCTGTGGAATCGAAAAAGAAAAAACCAATAAATAAATGACACAAAAGAAACTCAAAAAGTTGCATTGCAAGATAAGCATTATAAGTAGAATTACGATATATTGGACTGCAAATTAAACTAAAATATTTCTTTTATTAATAATATAACAAGTCATGCTAAATAGCTTTCAAATCTAGAAACAAGTTTATGAATATTGAATGGAAAACAAACGGCGAACGTTTTTCAGTTTATCGTTCTGAAACGGAAAAGTGTGCAAGCGTCGTAAACAAATGTTGACTTTTGTTACCACAAGAGTAAAGCCCTTTGTACACAAAACGTCTATCTTTGCATCGCGAGTATCAAGTAGCGGGTGCCCTGTGCACAACGATTAATAATCGACGCAAGTTGTTTATTCGGATAGTACAAGCATAGCGACTACGTAGCTTACGTGTATTACTCTACTACTTGCTACGCCATCTTCAAAACCGCAGGGACTTCTCTCACGACTATCTTAACAAACAAGTTATGAGTGACTGGCTTTGGCGATGAGATAAAAATGGCGTAGACGCGTTCCTGTTTAGGATCCTTTATTACATTGCGTAAGTAGCCTAGCGACTAAAATTGGCATGACAGAAAATTTACATCGCTTTGTGTACGAAGGGCTTAACACATGTTTGTGTGGCGATGTTCATTTAGGAAGCTCTGTAACAATTTCCATTAGTTTCGCACAACACGTCACAATGACCGACACCGGCTGTGTACATATAGTGGCATTGTGTTCGGCTCACCAAACTGTTTCGTCATGATACAATTGCCCGCTGCCTAACTTCGTTCAGAGTTAGCCAGCGGGCAAATCGATCATTTCTGCGGTCATACGTTTTAATCATTGCTTCTTGTTTTATATGTTTTGTAGCAATTTTACTTTATTAACACCAACTGTAGTAATTGTGTCAGTAATTGTCTAAAAATACTTTACAACTCTCAATTAAATTAGCCCTCGTTTACGTGTGAGAATTTATGCAGAAATATGTACGTTCGTAATCCAATATCTGTCTAGACTTTTATCGCGAAAAGAAATTGATTGACCTTTCAAAAGCCGAACGTAAGATTCTTATTCAAATTTACTGATTAAAAATCATATCTATTTATTTATTTCGTATCTGTTGGGAATCCCCAGCATACTATCTTTCCTTTCATTTTATTGAGTTACGGTTGGTTTTTACAACAGTTTTATTTGATATTTAACATAGGAGTAATATGATAATCCTCTTTATATTTTTTTGGTTGAAAATATAAACTAAAATTATTTATGTTAATAAAAAAAATATTAAAAAAACTACAAACCGTCATTTAGTGACAAGGATCGTTAATCGAGTCTTGAAATAATAAACACGTGATCAATATGTGTAAGGACTTCATACAATTTGTATGAACGAGAAAGGATTGCATTCCATTAAAGTTTGATTGTAAGATAATCATTCAATGTGAGACGTTATTGTGACTGACCCGTAAAAGTAGTTGTCGAAATTAATACTGTGCCATTGAATTTCCATATTACTCTAAACTCAGAGGAGGTCGATTGATATAATAAAGATACTGATGTTTATATTTTAGTATGGTATAACTAAATATTGTATACCAAATGTTTTAGCAGGACTTAGATAAAGAGTATTTATGCGCGGACATAAGACTAAAATTAGTGTAGCAAGTTGTACTAAACTAAGTGCTACATAATGTAACTTACGTATACCCTAAGTATTTTTACATACCCGATTGCTAACAAAGCGTTAATGAATTTTATCAATGCTGGGTTTTTAGCGATTCTAACAGGTGTAGAGCCTTAACATCCTCGGACGAATGGGTTGGCTAACCTGGTGTGGACGCCCGGACCACGACCACACAGAAGACAGGCGTGAAGTGGGCGCAATTCAGCGTTTCGTCTGTGTGCCGGAGGCCCAACTTTAGTCCTAAACTGCTGAATGGATCTCGACGAGATTTGCCAAAGATATAAAGGATAGTATGAATGCATACATAGGCTAGTTAGTTTTGTTTATTTAATACCACGCAGAAGAAGTCGCGGGCGAAAGCTAGTAACTTCATAATACTTTTATTGCACTGACTTACGATAGACTCGACTGAAGTTTCTATTAACTGTGAATATTTTTATTCGTTCCCACGACATTGTTATGGCGATAATTATATGCATTTTTGAATCGTTTACTGCATTAATAGATATCTTGCGGCTAGTATAAACACCCTAGGCTTTATTATAAAAAACTTAGATAAATACGATAAAAATGTAAAAAACGTCAACTTTATACCGTTTAGAAGAGCGTCTTTTAGTTTTTTTTGACAAATTATGGTTTTGAACATTACTACGAGTAAATTTGTGAAATACGATCTTTAACAATCATACTAATCATACTACTATTATAAATGCGAAAGTTTAGATGGATGTTTGTTAGAGTTTAGTAGCCTTAACGGCTGAAGGGATCTGGATGAAATTTGAAATAGATGTAGAGAATCTGGAAGTACACATAGGCCACTCAGTTTTGTTTTATCATTCCATGCAGACGTAGTCGCGGATCAAAGCTAGTAAATAAAAGTACTTATACCGAAAGCAGTGCGATTAAACACATTTTTGGTGAACCTTCAAACATCGATATGTTAGAGACATCGAGATATTATGGATCGATATCCATAATATCTCGTTTAAACAAGTCAAGTTTAACTAAAGAGTGTAACTTTATTTATTAGAATGCAATGATGAAGAGCTTACGGCTTTGGCGATTCTCTTGTATCATTAAAACCACATCAAGTTCTGCTATTATTGTTACTTTTCACTTTTTTTATTAATTAAATTAGTGGCGGAATCAACTATGACTGAAACGCATCAATCTCTGTTTCCTGCGTGTCAGTTCCATGTCATCATGAATTAACGAATGTTTCAAGGCCTCAGAAACCATGCGCAAAAAAGTAACGAACAATAGAAGTATAGAAACCCGTGTTATTTGCCCATGACGACTCTGAATGCGTGTATAAAGCTTGTTTACACTTAAAAGTCATCAGACATTATTAGTTACTTGCTGCCGCGAGTCCGTCCGCGCGGATTAAAATAAAGAATATTAGCCTATTTCTTCTTACAGAATACGTTTTATATCTATGACAAATTTTTTGCGTAATCAGTTGAGCCGTTCTGGAGACATGTAGTAACAAACTTCCATCCATCTATACTTTCACATTAGAATTATGTCAAATTAGACGTAAATAAATATTGTTCAACTAGATTTGGTCAGTATTCTTGATTAAGCTCCGAAACATTCAACGCGTTTTAATAAAACCCAAACATGACAAAGCCAGACTATTGCACGCATATTAAAAATAAATCCGGACTGTCTTCATCCAATAATCAAATTCTACATTATTCAGGTTTAGTAGTTTGTATGTTTTTAAATTGTAATAATTCTAAGCCATTGTATGTAAAAAATATAATCAATAGTTTAGTATTTGACTGACAAAGAATACGCTATCGTGTACACGCAAACTTATACCAGCATGATATTTCTAAGTAATGAATTTTTAATCTTCAAAGAACATTTTTCAATAAACATCCTAATGCGTTTGTATATACAAGTATTTTAGAGTTTTTCTCGTTTTTTTATCCATATAATTATTGTTGAAGCACAGCTTACTGTCCATGTAAATGCCAAGGTTCCTAACATCCGCAGTTTGTTTACATTTATTGTTGATATTATATTACGTTGTATTGAAATAGCTATGCCTTGTATTTCTCTCTAATTGTATAGGAAAATATTTATCAATATTTGATGTCATTAACACCTTTTATACTTGTTTATGTTAATTTCGACCTATCGAAATATTGCCCAAGGAAAAGGCGACGATACAAAATATTTATATTCCTAATAATTAAAACGATCTGAATGAATCTATGAACTTTTGTTTAATAGAACAATAATAATCGTAATTATGTAATCATTACTTTACGCACTTGTTATTCAATACTGGCAACTACATACAGTTGAGTAGAGTGAAAACTATACCAATAAATGCAAATTAATTGCTTTCGTTCAAATAAATAAGTCAAATTAACTATTTTACACAATATAACAATAACAATAGTTGGTCCATTTTTAAATAAGAGCATTCGAAGATTTTTTAATTAAATTTCATTTAACGATGTACATATATGCTAGGAGGTGATTCACAACAGTCTTATAACAAATATGATATTTGCACTTCGATATTGGATATAATACAAATAGATGCGTTTATAGTAAAATATGTGAGCTATTAGAAGTGTTGTAGTCAAAAGATTTTAATAAATCTATCAGAGGTTAAAGGAATATTTTACTCAATACGTTTAAAAAATAAACCATTTCCTTGCGTGTAATCAAATCATTTCACACGATTTAATGCCGCCGCGCGTCACGGTGTTTAACGACTTTTGTGATAAGAACCAAATTGGAGTAATAAAGTTTGACAGGTTGCAATGGAAGGCAAAACCATGATTCACTAATCAAGACGTGTTATGCAGCAAATTAAATGAAACGAATCATTTGGAATGCATCGATAAAATAACAGACTTTAAGGGAAATGCATATTATCGTTCAAGGAATTCGATTACTTAAAAATCGTTGAATTGAATAACACTGAGTAACATAACCTCTTTATTCATTTTTTTAAATTTTATTCTGAGGAATTCGCAAGTAACAGCTAGTTTTAAATAAAATTGAGTAATTCTAAAAGAAGATTCCTTAACAAATTAGATGAAAATGCTACCTTACCAACCTAAAATTATGAATTGTTCAATTAAAATAAGTATTCATCAGTCTCTTGAAATAAAATTTAAGGAAATCCCCTAACATTTTTATCACAATTTATACCATTAATACACTGTTGTTAAAAATAAATCTAAAAGATAAGCTGCGTTCGTTTGACTTTGTAACTCGCTCCGTTAAACTGTAAAGTGCGTGAAGAATGGATCGGCAAACTTCTAGTCAC